CAATTAATGATAAGCTGTTCTGCATATTCTAACTTATCATAAAAATTAAAAAATAAGAAATTAAGTTGATCAAGTTAACTTTTGATTCATCATTCGATTATGCAAAATCAATCTTTCAAAACGTTAAAAAAAAAATTATTTTCTGATCACCTTAAGATATTTTTAGCATGCTATAGATTGTCATTAACTTTAAGATTTTTGTTATGAATATCTCGTCCATTTATATTTTATATTTATATATCTTTTTTATATTTATATTACAAAATATTTTCGTTACATTTATAATATAAATATTTTTATTATATTTATAACATAAAATATATTTTTTACATTCACTTAGATAAAACTATAGTTAAACTAAGCGACTGTTAGCAACATTATAAACAATTGTTTAGTGAAAACATTTAAAATTGACAAAAACATGCAAATTCATTCATTCAAAGTTTTTCAAACTCAAAGTTTATTTAAAATTGAAAAAAACACACGCAAACTAGATCAAAGCACATTCATTCAAAGTTTAATTGCAAAATTTTTTTTTTCTCTAGCGTTCAACGCAATAAAAAAGGCTTTTCTAATATTAAAGATTTTTTGGTTTCAGTTTTTTTCAGTTCATTTTTTAGTTTACCGAAAAAAATGGTAGTCTTTTTTAAAAAAAATGATACTTTTTAAAAAAAACAAGAAATATTGGGAACTTTTAAGAAAACATTGATTAATTAATACTTAAACGCAAAAAAATTTATTTAAAAAACAAACAAAATGCTGTTTGTAATTGTAACTATCTTTCATAAACTTTTACTTTATTCTTAGCAAGTGTTTCAGATCCTGATTTTTGTTTTTCAAAGAAATAATTTTTCAAAGAAATAATTGAAGACAAAGTACAAATTTTTCACATAAACAAAATTCAAGCAACATTGCACCCTACAGTAGTTTAAAATAAAATAAATGTCCTTTCAATATGTTTTTCAATAAGATTCAATATCAAATGTGATTCAATGTTTCATCAAAGATGATTTACTGTATAATGTAGAAATGGTATAACATGCGATGAAGTTAACAATGGAACATATTAAAAGCAATATTTCTCATCAAATAGAAACTGTTTATTACTTTTTAGATGGGTGTGCTAGACAGTAGAAAACTATGAATACTTCATAAATATATGCCACCATGAGCAATATTTTGCTGTTAAATGTACATGGTTTTTCTTTGCAAAAAGTCATGGTAAATCACCCTGTATTAGTGGGACTGTAAAAAGACTTCAATTACTAGTCTTCATTGAGCAACAACAAATCGTATACTTATACCATCTTGAACATTATTATTTTTTTTTTTGCCAAAATGAAATCATAGAAATTACTTTTTGGTACGTATCTAAGGAGTCAAACATCATAATTCAAATTGAAATTTTTTTTAAGGATTTTTAAGAGAAATGTTACCAAGCATCCCCAGCTATCGCAATTTCATTCCAATAAGTAACATAAAAATTGGAACTAAAATTATATCTAAACTAAAAGAGAATTCATTTGTTTTTAATTTTCAAAATGATGAGATTATTAAAGATTGCTTGCCTAATATAAGCAATAAAATGTTTGCATGTTTGATTTACAATAAAATGTTTGCATGTTTGATTTACAATAAAATGTTTGCATGTTTGATTTACAATAAAATGTTTGCATGTTTGATTTACAATAAAATGTTTGCATGTTTGATTTACAATAAAATGTTTGCATGTTTGATTTACAATAAAATGTTTGCACGTTTGATTTACAACAACAACCTAAAGATTGGACTAGAGGGGGATATTGATGTTGAAAATAAAGACTTTTAAGTTAGATTCATTCATCCGCTTTACCCTTCAAGGTCATATTGTTGTCCTTCTAGAGATAGTGTGTGCTGGGTTTCATGCTGGGTTGTCACAGGAAGACAGTAAAAAATCAGTGAAATTGATCACCAAAGCATTAAAGAAATCTGGGCAAACTTTAAACCAGAGAACTAATTTTTTATAAAACTGTTAAAGATTTTTAATTCTTATTTTAAATTTTTTTATTACAATTTAATTATTTCCATGGCGTATTTTTGTAATTTCAATATTTTTGGGGTTTAGAATTATAAAACTTTAAATCCAAATAAATCTGATTTAAAAAAAAAAGATTAGCCTTGCAGTTTTTTTGATTTATGGAATTTGTTACATATTTAAATGTATTATTTGTTACATATTTTGTATTATTTGTTACATATTTATTGAGTTATTTGTTGAAAACATTATCATATCATTCAGGCTCGAAATTAATATTTTTGTAAGGGGTGTCAAAAAACTTAGAAAAAGTATTACATTATTTTGAAATTAAATTTTCATAAAGAAGCTTTAATTTTTTAGCCATCATTTTTGAATTCCTTCCCTAAAATAATGTCGTAAATAGAAAATCTTTCATTAAACATAAAGGTTGTATAAAATAAAGATCTTTAATGTGAAATGCAAACAAGTTTTTATATTAGAACTGTACCTGAGATTCTATAATTAAAAAAAAAAAAAAAATGCAAAAAATAATTGTATATAACTTTTTTTTCATTATTAAATAACAATTTTTTAAAAATTTTTTATAAAACATTCAATCAGATTCAAAAAAGAAAACCGCTGCAGTTTTTTTGAAATAAGGAGTTTACTATATATAGAACCATAGGAAAAAATTTCAGATTCATATCTTTTAGGCATCTCAAGATATTCTTCTTTTTGTATGGGGCATCAAAAAACTTCTAAAAAGTGTTACACCATTTTAAAATTGAATATAAAAAAAAAAGCTTCAAGTTTTTAGTGTTAAAGGTATCATTTTTGAGTTTCTCTTCCTAAAAAACAGTAAGGCACAAATTTCCAACACTATTGAACAAGTATTTCATAAGTTAAAGCTAATTATGTTATTTAATTAGATTAAAAAGTTGATTAAAAAAAGTTAGATTAAAGCTAATTATGTTATTTAATTAGATTAAAAAGTTGATTAAAAAAAGTTAGATTAAAGCTAATTATGTTATTTAATTAGATTAAAAAGTTGATTAAAAAAAGTTAGATTAAAGCTAATTATGTTATTTAATTAGATTAAAAAGTTGATTAAAAAAAGTTAGATTAAAGCTAATTATGTTATTTAATTAGATTAAAAATGGTTCTGAAAAAAATAATAAAAAAAGAGATTGGGACGGAGTATCGATATCTCTGAAACCGTAAGGAGTCAGACAATAAAATTTGGAGTAATGTTTTCTTTTATTAATATGAGCTTGTATTCCAAAAATCATCAAAATATGAAATAACATGGTGCTGAAAAAATCTCTATCTATTGAAACTCAACGTTGACTGAAATTGACAAACTTACCATATTATAAAAAAAATTTAAAAAACAAATTTACTGTTTTTAAATTTTCTGTTCTTTTTTTTTCCACATTCTTTATTGCTTTATCACAATATTTTATTTTTAAACCTTTATATATATTTAAAATAAAAACTTATACATTTTAAATAAATAAGACATCAAAGATGCTCCTTTTTATTTATTTAATTTTAAAAATTAAAAAGCTTATTTTACACAATTCTATAAGTTTTCTGTGCAAAATATGCAGAATTAGTAGATCAAGTGTTGCTGCTGACAACTTTGCATTTTATTATATTCCACATTTTTGGATTTTATTATATTCCACATTTTTGGATTTGCATTTTATTATATTCCACTTTCTCTGGATGTTTTCTTTAGTTGTTTTTTTGACATACTAAAGCAAACATTGTATAGATAATATGTCCATAAATAAATGCTGCATTTAGATAAATCTAGTGTTTTAGACATATCCAGTAGTTTAGACATAGCTAGTGATTTAAACATAACTAGTGTTAATGTTTTTTTTCTCCTCTACATTAAAAACTTATACATCTTTAAAAAAAAAAAAAAGAGAAAATAAATGTTAAAAGATAATAATAATAAAGTTAAAAAAATATATATATTCCTATTGACCAGATGATAAAGTTAGTTTCAGAAAATGAGAAAATTGTTTGATGTTCTTTAAAACATTTTAGGAATATCGCATATTCACCTAAAATAAAAAATTTGTTCTCCAAGAACCCGGATACTTTTTCTATTTTCTAAAAATTTTTCATAACTATATTATCAAAGTTAAAAATGGGCAATTTTCTTATTAACAACTTAACCATGAAGCCCCAGGATGTTATTTTTAGTCATCTTATGTAATAATTTGGAGTAGTAGTGTAGTGGTAGAGTGCTTGCCTCATAAGCGAGAAGATCTGAATTTGATCCCCACTATGCCCATGATAGTATCCCCCTCAATTTGTTTCTCTGTGCAGCGGCCTTATTTGCCAAGGTTCATGTTTGGGAGTTATAGAAATGAGAGAGAGTTGTTTAACAACTAAAAGTAGCCTCCTTAACTTGATTTTTTTGGAGGGTAAATAGTTTTTGTTTATTCAAATGAAATTTTCAAACATTACCAACGCCTTAATGGTTATGAATTGAAATAATAACTTAAATCAAAATCTTTATTTTATACATGATAAAAACTGGTTTAACTGGTTTATAAACATTACAAAGTTGAATACTTTGTAGAAACCTCTGCCTATTATCTGCTATGATGAATGAAACCTCTGTCTATCAGCTGCTGTGATGAATGCTTTAATTGATCTTCCTAACTCTTTCCGTTTAAGGCATAAAAACTTCGATGGTAATTCTTACTTTATTAGATTCACAGTTGTTTTCAATAAATCTACTTATATATTTTTATATATTACTACTTATATATATTTTTTAAAACAATTTTAAATTCACATCTTTTTAAAAATAGCTTTAGAATCACAATGAATTGTTTAATTATATTTAATAAATTATTACTTAATAAGTTTTATGCTTGCCTAAAGTATGTTATGTTTTAAATTTGCTAAAGTAATAGGATGCACTGTACAAAATTGGTAATACACAAATAAAAAAACAAAAACAAAAAATTAAAAATAATACCCCATTCTGGCCACATACAGCTCATTGCATCATTTAATGAACATATTGGAATATCACCTAAAATATATAAACATACAACTAAATCAAAAACCATTTTTTTGGCTTATTTTTTACTGTAGTTTTAGTAACATTTTTTATACGATACTTTATTTAATATAAATTATTACTATTTTTTTTTACATCTTCGCTTCCAACAAGGCTGCAAGAAACCACTAATTAGTGTTGGAAGTTACTGGAAGAGAGAAGATAAAGATTGTAGAGCAAAATAACAATTGACAGATGACTTAAAAGATTGCAAATTATACGAAGCAGGAAAGCAAGTTGAAGGAAGCGAATTCCAAATAACTGATGTTCAAGGAAAAAAACTAGATGAATAAGAGTTTTTGAAACACTTAGGAACGGTAACAGAAAAATGATGATACTTAATTGAATGACGAGTAACACAAGAATGAATTTTAGTAAATGGCACAAAAGACGCTAGTTCTTTAGAGCAGTGCCCATTATAGTATTTGTAGAAAAGAGAAAGAGAAGCAACATTACGACAATGTGATAATGGTTGGAGGTTGGCTGCAAATACAGGCCCGACTATGTTTACAATGCGTTTTTGCAAGTTGTCTAAAAGAGAAAGGGCATCATTTGAAGATCCACCCTAGATATGGCAACAGTATTCCATACAAGCTTGGATTTGAGATTTATAGAGATTTATAGAGAATAGAATCTGGAGTAAGAATTTTTCGAGCTCGATAAAGAGATGCAACCTAAGCAGATGCTAATTTTGCAATGGATTTGATATATAATTTCCAAGAAAGATCGGAAGTAAGAATTAATCCTAGAAGATGAAGGGTTGATGACTAATAATAAAATATAACGATAACAATTGGCTGAAAAAAATTGAGTTTTATCTGAATTAAAGTTCACCAGCCACTGTAAGCCCCATGCTGTAGCAGAAATGAGATCCTTTTCAGGCTCAAAATGCCCCCTTCAATCAATCAGAGAGTCTTGACTTCTTATCATGACAAGAATAAGTGGTAAAATCATCAGCAAAAAATGCCACCTTAGATGTGAGAATTATCTGGAAGATCTTTATTGTAAATTAAAAAGAGTATAGGGTCAAGGATTGAACCTAGAGGAACCCCTGAGGTTACAGAATAAGAAGAAGAGTGCTGTCCATCAAGGACAACTTTTATACTACGATTGGAAAGGAAGGATTCAATATTCATAAAGATGTTTCCAGATACAGCGTAAGAAAAAAGCTTATTGGAGAAAACCAGCATGCCAAACTTTATCAAACGCTTTAGAAATGTTAAGAGCGATGGCCTTAACCTCTTCACCTTTATCTAATGCGCAATAAAACCTATTGATTATTACTGTTAGCAAATCAGCGGTAGAACGAGAAGATCGAAATCCATATTGATGATCAGAAAGTAAGTTATTAGATTTAAAATGATAGATTAAGTGTTTGTTAATTAAAGATTCAAAAACCTTGGTTATAATAGAAAGAAGACTAATGGGACGGTAGTTAGACAAATCAGATCGCTCTCCAGAATTTTTAAAAATAAGGATAACAGATGCTACTTTCCAGCAGGCTGGAAAACAAGACTCTGATAAACACTTGTTGAATAGTTTTGAAAGGATAGACAACAGCTCTGGAAAACGCTTCTGCAAGATTATAACAGGTATGTTGTGCGGACCACAAGCTGTAGAAGAGTCTAAGCAGGAAATCACTTTAGATACAGAAGCTGAAGTGATACAAATGATAAGCAATGGATCAACCTGTTTGACGGCTATATCAGGTAGAACGCAACTAGTGGAATCAAGAGATGATATTGATGAAAAGTTCTTAAGAAATAATTCAGCTTTGTCTTTAGGTGAGGTGACAAAGCCTGAACCATACAAAAGAGGTGGAATTGCAGACTTACCCTTATTATTGATACTATTAAAGATTCTCCAGAAGTCAAGAGAATCTAATTTTTGTGATGAAATACAAGATTTCATGACCTGTGAATAGCGGGCTTTGGCATTAGACAAAACCTTTTTAAAATGGTTCCTAGCAGTATTAAACAGACGTCTGTTTTCTGGAGAATTATTTTGCTGATAGATATGGAAGTAATGGTTTTGATTGGCAATTGCAGCAGCACAATGTGAGGAAAACCATGGAGAAGAGTGAGGCTTGACCTGGAATCGCCGAGAAGGAAAAAAGGATTCCATGCCAACCTGAATCCACAAATTTATGTAAGAAGCACATTTGTCAACAAGAAGATGAAAGCTTTCTACCCAAAGGCCATCACAAAGAAAACCACGGAAAAAGTCCCAGTCAGCTTTAAGATAGTTGTAAGATGTATGATGATAGGGGGATTCTGATGATAAAGAAAAATGAGATATTAGTTTTAAAGAGATCAAACTGTGATCAGAGGTACGTAAGGGTGAATGTGGAGAAACTGAGCACTGACTAGGATCAGAAACAAGACATAAATCGAGTAGTGAAGGTAAATGATTTGGGTTGTCTGGAAAGCGAGTTGGAAAGTTGACTATCTCAGTTAGGGATTAAGAAAGGCAAAAGTTGTGGGCTTTAATGCTGGCAGAGTCACTGACACTAGAGCCAAGCCAATCAGTGTGATGAATATTAAAGTTACCGACAACAACAATATTGGCTAATGGATAAAGAGAGAGGGCTTAATAAATATGATCAAAAATAACATCAAGAATAGTGCAGTCTTGAGATGAAGGAGAGCGATATAGAACAAAGAGAAAGGTGATAGAGTGAAGTGGTGCTAAACGAAAGCACATAAAAGAGTAGTCTGTGGATTCAAACCTAGTTTCCACACAAATGGGTGAATTCTTACGAATATAAATGCCCAGGCCAAGCATGTGACTATTGGAATCTTTACGAATTAAAAAAAGATAACCATCAACACTAAAATCACAAGATAAGACAACTAAACTCAAATTAGTCTCACAAAGAGCAAGTAGGTCTTGCAAGAGATAAGACTCAACAGAAGAAAAGTTACTTCGAAGACCACGAATATTAGTGAATGATAGATTTAGCGAACTTGGTGGTGACAGTGGTTTTTTGTGTTTTATAGTTTTTGTTACTTTAATTATTTTTAAATTTGTTAAAGAACTTGACTCCAAACATAGATAGTACTCAGTTTAATAGCCCAAGCAATTGTCTCATTACTATTAATAAACCCTAAACTGTAACAAAGGGCTCCAATGTAGCCTTGGCAAGGTACACCAAAAGTACAAACAGGAACACCATCCATGCGCAACAAGGCACTGTTAGTACTTTGATATTTTTCAGCTGTTGATGGAATCAGCCTCTCCGAGAGCTACTACAGAGTTCGGGAAACCTGACTAACAGCCCGCCTCAGAACCATAAAACTGAGTTTTAGAGCTGTACCCTCATTAGGAGATAGTAGAATGAGTTGCCTAATCATAAAAACAGAGACACAAGCAAAACCCATGCATCGAGTCAAGAAGATCCAGCATTCAACATCCTAAACTGGAAACAATGTATTAAAAATACATCTGCACCAGCCTAATAGCAGGCTTGGTCGGGAAGCAGGTGCAATCGCACTCGATAACTGACCACGGAAATATTATTTAGTTGCGAAAAACCGGCCTTATTTTTAGTCGTTTTGAGAACATTTCAAAAACAAGCAAAAAAGCGCATTAAGATTAACTGGACCGTCGAGAGACAGTTAAAAAAAGAAAAATAGCTTTTAACGCGAAAAAACGCAAAGAGCAATTATTTTTTAAACGTCGCTCTTTTATAACTTTTTTTATAAAATAAAGCGACATTTTTTATATAAAGTAACAACTATAAAAAAACAAATATTCTTTGATTTATCAAAGAGTATATATAATTTTTATTTATATACTTATGTCTTATTTCCAGTGCTGGATTGAGGAGGTGGGTTGGGGGTAGTAGGGCTATAGCCCCGGGATTCACAATGTTAGGGGAAATAGTCAAGAGAACCATTTGGTATTTTTTTAAGTCATTTTTACGCTGTGGCACATAAAAAAGGCCGCCAAAATAATGCAGCCTCTGGCCCTGAAAATATTCAACCAGATGATTTATTTATAAATAAAAGTTTTTTCAATAACTGCTTCGCGTAGTTTAAAAAGTTTAACACATTTGAAACAATTCTTCTTAATAAGATGAACAAATGAAATAATTAAATGATTGAGTTACTGTAGAAATTCAATAAGCTAGATAGAAATTAACAAAAAACGTTAAATTACTTTGTGAGTAGGAAGCGGAACTGCTTCACAATACCGCTGATGATGTTTAGTGAGTGGGCTTCATAATTTTAATTAGTATTTAAAACAGAAAAAAGTAACTTAAAGTATAACGAGTTTGTAAGAATGGCTGAAGCAAAAATAATTGAAGTTAGTAAACCAATTTCTCAGAACTTAAAAACTTTTCTTTCTTGGGAGAAAGAATCAGTTATCGGGTACACTGAAGAAAATGGATTAGTGGTTAAAATTATTTGTATTAACTTTGACGATTATTAATAATTTCATTGAAAACGCAATTATTATTGAAAGTATTTTTGTTTACAAAATCAATAGCACAAATTGCTTTAAAAGATTACATTTGAATAAAATACACATAGATAAAATTATATAGATAAAAATACATTACATACATAAAAATACATCCCTTATATATAAAAAATAAGAATATACTAATAAAATCTAAAATATATTTACAAAACGTTGACAAGTTAAAAAATATAAATATAAAACAGTTATTATTGTAAACAAATAATGTTAGTTTAAAACATTTTTAGCTTTGCAGATGTGGCTCCAAGAATTAAAATAATAGTTCGTTTAATAGTATACTCTTAAAATAATTTATGCTAGAAATTTCAACAAAAAAAAAATTCAAATAATACTGTTTTTTTAAATATTCCAACAGAATACTCAGGACATTCGGATAGTTTTTTTTGAATACTCTAGAAATTTCGGTTAGTATTTTTTGAACCAATAGAATTAGTTGTTCGTAGATTTGGCGGGATTTTTGTGTTTGCGAATATTCTTTTTTTATTTTT